ATCTAACCCAGGACAGGCTGAGAGCTGAAGCAAATGGGAGTTTATTCCATGAACAAAAAGCATGAGGGTTCTGGAGTTAAGGTTGTCATGATAAGGTGACTGTGGGCTAAGGAATGGAAGCATTCTGGAGAGTCAGAGATTAAGGGAGAAAGAGGGAGGAGTGTGAGCAGGGAGAGGTGAAGATGAAGAAAAGCGGAGAGAGCATAAAAGGGAAGGAAAAGGGGACAGGAATGAAGCAAACAAACAGAGCTGCCTCATTTCTGAGAGCTCTCCATGTCCTAACTCCAATCCCTGGTGAGGTTAAGCTGCTCACAACCTTAGGCTTCATAAGATATCCTACAATCTTAAAAGTATTTTAGCTTGGCTAAAAAAATGCATTCTATAAAATGTTGAGTTTCAGGTGCATTTGAAAACACCAAAGTGGTGCTAAATATAAGTGCAGATCTTACAGAAAAGATTTTCACTAGAGAGAGATTCCAAAGTGTTTGGAGTAATGATAATAACAGTTAAACTTGCTAGTAGAGAGTGAGACAGATGATAAAGAAAGAATGAAGGGGTAACCAGCACATGAGGCTCAGTGTCACTCCTGCTCAAGGACACTGATAAACAGGTAGGCAGACGCTAAACTGAATAGGCTGAAGAGAGAAGGGGAGTGAGCAGGTCGTGCTCACAGCGTATTATTAGAAGATACTAATCTAGTAAGAAGGGAAAGGAGAGATGATAACAAGTACTAGGACAGAAAACAAGTTTATCAGCTGAGGAACATCCAGGATTTGAAGCAATAAAGAAAGGGATATAGCACAATAAGAGCTGAACAGCCCTGAATTGGAGAAGCAAAAGACTTTTCCCATGAGACACCTAAGCACAAACTTACCAGTGTGTTAAGAAACAAAGACCTAGAGTAAATTTTAGAGTTTCATCATATGTCATCTTTTAAATACCAAAAACTATGTCTCTGTACTAAAGCAAGGATGACTGTCATATCTGAAAAATAATTATCATCATTGCAAATTGTTAGAAGCTTAAAAGTAAGCACAGAGTGGGCCTCCCCTGGTGGCACAGCGGCTGAGTGCTGGGCTGCGAAGCTGCCCGCAGCCTCTGCAGCGCCAGTTCAATCCCCGGCCACCAGCGAGGGTCCCACATGGTGCGACAGACCTCTCCTGCCGAGCTCACTGCTTCCCTCAGCAGTGTATTTTGTCGGTCTGCCTGTTCCGTTCCCCGCTATGGCTCTGGTGAATTCTCTCACCCTCCTGCGCTTCTGACTGTACCCAGGGCTTGTATTATAAATAAATAAATAAATCTTAAAAAAAAAAAAAAAAAAGTAAGCACAGAGAAAGGTCCTTAACCAAAGACAAAAAAAATAAGGAATAGCTGTATTTAGAAAATTAAGTATTTATGTAAAGTAAGTAGTATTATAATGAGATGTAAAAACATGTCAACTGCTTTGTAATTAAAAGACAAAACCTAATTATTAGACTATCACAAAAAATACTATTTCAGTATGAAGCTAAAAAGTCTTGCTGATGATCAAAAGAATGAGAGAGTGAAGGCAGTAAATTCCAAATTAATTCAGACAAAAGAACAGGACTGAGGAGCAAGGAATGACTTTTTGGAAGATAATCTACTCAATTATCTTAATTTTCTAGATGAAAAAACTGAAGCATAAAGAGTTCCAAGTTCATAACTTTAATTATATCTCAACTGTAGGACTTAGAAGCCAGTTTTGTAGTTTTCAATTCATATTATTCCACCTTTTTGTTTGTTTTCTGATTTTAGTCTATAGCAGGGATATTAGATGGAAGTATTGTCTATGATCTAACCAAAAAGTAGGCTGAAGCATCTAAAGCAAAACACTACTTTGTTCTAACTGCCCTGAAGACAACTGCAAACAATTAACACAGTTCACAATTATAGCCACAGAACTGAAAAAATTTTATACCATCAAGTATTAAAAAGGCTTTATTTAATCTTTACACTACCAGTGCTATTTCACCACAGGGAAAAGTAATCTCCTTAAAAGAGGGTGTTTTAAAAAAAGGGGGAGGCAGACCTAGGTAACCCTGTGTATCTGTGAGGAACTAAAGAATCTGAAAACATTTTGCACATCTTTGGGTCTTTTATTCCTAGAGAGCAAATACCATGTTAATCATATCATCTCATCCAATCTCTAGGAGAGTAAAGTCTAGACATATTTCAGGAAGTTCTTGTCTTATAGAAAGTAAAGTAGCTAACACATTAGTTTTATAACCAGTGAAGAAGTCCACCACGTAACAACTATTTGACCTTGGGCAAGTTGCTCAAGTCCCCATTCCCCTAGTCTATAAGGATAATATCTACCTCATAAGAGAGAATATAAAACATGCAATATAGTTTCTGGCACACAGTAATTACTCAATAAAAGCTAGTTGTTGCCACTATTATTTGAGATTTCTTGTTCGTTTTGACTGATTTCAGTATATGTCTTAATTTTACCATCTTTCTTTTCTAGCTAAATAACTTGGCGATCTATACAAGGTGACATGCTACTTTAATTAAAAAAAAAAAGAAAAGGAAGTTTCAAAACCAATGTTTATACTATCTTCAAAGGTAAAAGTATCAAAACTAATAGAAAAGACAGTCCGTCTTGGTATTTCATACATTGGAATCTATAAAATTATAACCTATGATAATATAGTATCATAAAGAGCAGGCCGTTTTTTTCCCCCCCTTGGCCAGAAAAAACAAATTCCCATTTTTAAAAATATCTCAGGTTTTCTTCTTGAGGAATTCAATCTTGCAACAAAATACCCTATTATCATAGGAAGCAAATACAGGACAGTAAGTCATGAACAAGACTAAAAATGTATTGGTATATGAGCCAAGGGGGAAAAATCATCTGGAAAAAAGAATAAGTAGAGGTTTTTCTCAAAATTTAATTGTGACTTTGAGTTGTCTGTTTTGTGACTAACTCTTTGATACTCCCATGTACACGATAAACATTTCCTTAGAAAATTACAAATGACCATTCAATTTTAAAAAATGCCCTATATATTTGTTTCTTTAGAAAGCTGGCCAATTATACAAAAAAGCCATGAATGAGAAGTGAAATTAACCTGACAGAGAAGCAAACACAGTGTCTCTAGTTCTCTTTTTATTCTATTTTACTTATTTTTATTTCATTTAAAGTGAATCTTGTTTTAAACAGCTTTACAAAAGTTGAAGTTGGAACATTTAATCTAGACCACCATAATTGTTGCCAAGAATTCAAGAAATACAAATACTACTAATTTTATAAATCCAAGGAATACAGGCTTAGAAATTTAGCTTCCTATGATGCAACAATTACATTGGTATTATGAAACACAAGGAAAAATACAAAAAAAGATCTATGGTGGTGACTCAGTTATCTTGTGAACCTATGATGTTTAACTATCACTGAATCTGACTTCCTACTGTTGATGAGATGTAAGAAAACTAAGGAGGAAGCTTTACACATATACCAAACAGGAAAATTTTTCTTTGAAATTAACTAAATAAAATTCATTGAGTTAGAGGAAAAGCATTGTGAAGATTGAGTGGTGTTTGTTCTGAAACTCTTCATGCTCTGCACATGCACTTATATATATAATGCATCCTTTCCATGGTAAAATAAAATCAACAATTACATAGCAGTTCAAAACCTCTGAATAATTTAGGACTACAAAAATGACTATTCAGAAGAAATTACAGGGAAATTTTTAGGTAAGAATGTAATTTAGTAAGGGCTTAGGTTAAGAGAAAGTGAAAGAGACAGAGATAAATGATAACTTTCTATCTTAGTATTATCCTCAAAGTGAAAATCTCTAAAGATTTTATTTCTTATAGGAATTTCATGGGAAAATAAAGTATAGGAGAAAGTCAAAGTGATGCGTAAACAAACCAACGTGACAGATGAAAATTAGGAGCCAGAGTATTTGACTGTGTGATTGGATTAAAATGGGATTAAATCTTTGAGAAAGAAAGATTTATCACATGGATTCCATGAATTTTGCAGTCCTGTTTGCTGGAGACAGGTGATGACAAATGAAAACACCCCACAAGGAACAAATAAATCTACTCCAAAGAAGAACCATGAGATTCAGGTCCTAAGTCTATTTCCACTAAGATTAATTATGATAACTTTGTCCCATAAAATTCTGCCATTCCTGCAAAAGGGAAAAATGATGAGAAGCTTTGATAATCTAACTCAATTAAGATACTGTTAGAAAATTCTCTTGCTCTTCTATCTCAAAACTTGAAAGTTATACCAAAATGCAGTAGTCAAACATACATGCGAAATGACCCTGAAATTAAGATAATTGCTGGTACCAAATGTTGTGTTTAAGTTCCGCAATAAAACAGTCTCCCAGACATTTAATAGTATGTCATTTGGTAAATGAAAGTTTCCACAAAATAAGAGCAGTGAGAAGACCTAAAAATTATGCTAGTGAAGAGTCTGGCTGAAGAAACAAAAGTACGCATCATTTTGGTCCAATACTAATTTTACTTCAAGTTACTACAGAGCTAAATAAAATGCTGACACCACCACACAAAAATTTATTGAGTTGGCAATAGGCTAAGCATGATGTCAGCTGCCAATATTACCATCTACATTACCAAATAGTATGAACACTTTAATTCCTGAACTCAACGTAGACTATGCCTTAAGTTACAGTAAAAACAAAAAAAAACTTAGGCACGAGATATTATTAAACATCAATGAGTTTAGCCTGGCAGTTTTAACTCAAATTTGTCTAGCACTTTCACAAAATTCAGTAAAAAACATGGAAAAATACAAAGTTTAAACATATTACAATTTTCTAAATGTACTGCATTCTTCACCAAACAGACCCACACAAATAATTCTTTGTCAGCTCACAATAATATTCAAAGAAGCAACATCACACACACACACACACACAGACACAGCTCCTCAAATAAGTAACATCACACACATTTTACAGGCTGACAGAAAGAAAACACACATACACACATGTTCTTACCTTCATGGCATGAATTTCTTCAAGCAATCTTTGTGCCCGTCTTTGGTTTTTGGACAGCGCATCTTCAGTACCCCTGCAAAAAACACATTACAACATGCAGTCAGGAAAAACATTAATTTGAGACTCATATCATAATGAAGATAATTCATTTCTTTTAAAAAAGCACAATAAATTTCTAAAAACCAAGCACCTAGTCATCCTGAACTACTCTTCCCCTCTGCCTAACACATACTTCAATCTCATCAACAAATCCTTTTGGCAAAAATACATATTGTCCCAGCATTACATACATGACTGTATCACTGATAGATAATATGCCTTCTAATTCCTTAACGGGAAAGCCAAATAACTGTTTTTAATCACTCAATTGATAGTATGTTTTATTAATAAAATAAACATTTCATAAGCTACTATTAAAGGTTACATAAAATTTTATTAGAGCAAAATTTATTCTGCGGAATTAAAGAAATACTTAAAGATTCTAAATGTATGACTATATCAGGCAGCTCAATCTCCTGAAACATTTACAAGAGAAAGAAATTAATCAGGAACAAAACACCTGACGACTGTATTCATGCCCAAAGTATAAAAATTATACTTATTTTTAACGGTAGTGATACTAAAAATTCAATTTTTCACATATAAGTCACATAATTTCATAGATAATTCACATAATTAAAAAAAAATTAAAAATCAGAATACTATATTTTAATAAACGCTTTCACAAGATACTGAAGATTTCAACTTAATTATCAATTGAAGGGACAGAGTAATATAAAATCTTCATACATGATTTAAGTTATGGTCAGAACGACCAAAATGAGTTTTGAAAAAACATAAGAATTCACATCTCTCAAGGGATTATCAGGCACACACCACAGAAAGACATGCTGACACAGCACATTCTAGTACACTCAGATCCTCTTTACTTTAACAAAGTGCTGTATCAGAGAGACATTTAATTATTCCTCTAGGTCCCACCCTCAAGTTTTGTAAATACTGAACAAAAATAACTGACATATTAGTCACAGGACCATTACTTTAAATGACTAACTTTTTTGACTTCAGTCTGGAAACACTCCTGACAAGTTTTCGGATAACCAAAACTCGGATTCTCTTCACGTCTTTTCTCATCTTCACAACCTTTGAGAAATAAAACCAAAAGTAGAAAAGCTGTTAATTCAAGAAAGAAACAAACTTAAGTCTAAATATCATCAACTTAGTCTACAACTTTAACCAAATTTTTATTTAACTATATTAAGTCTGATGAAATCAAACTTCTTCCACAAACAGTGAAAGGAATGAATCAACATTCTAAAAATGTGTCTGAGAACTAAGAGAAAGTAACAATTTTTTAAAAAGTTACAGTATTCCCAGTGTTTAGTATTTTAAGCCTGGAACATAATAAACTGTGAGTTCCCTGATCAGAAACCATCATATTCACCTTTGCATTCTTAAATCTTAAAATAAGAGTAATGGTAGAAATTTAATCCACTGAAAGAGTTTGTATTAAGAAAAGAAAATGTGTGAAAGTGACTACATTTTACTTATTAAGCATTCTCTGCATTTATTTTTAATAAATTATTTCAAGCACACACGTACGCACACACATGCACACACTTTATGTCATCCCACAACAGAAAAGTAGCTAAGAACAAACAAAAAAATATATTCGTCAAAATAGGAATTCTCTCACTATAAAGAACTATGTAACAGTATTAATATAGTGGGATGCTAATCATTTTGAGTTTTATTTATATATATATATATATATATATATATACATACACACACACACACATATATTTATTTATTTATTTTGCTTAGAACTGGGGTGTAGACCAGAGGTGTTGGGAGTGGGACAAGGGAAGGGTGAGAGGATTCACCAGAGACAGCGGGGTGCAAAATAGGCAGATCTACTGAAATACACTGCTGAGGGAGCAGCAAGTGAGACAGGAGCGGTCTGCTGCACCGCATGTGAGTAGCTCCCTGACCAGGCATCGAGCTCAGGCTGCAGAGGTGACAGCACTGAGACTTAACCCGTAGGTCACCAGGGAAGCCATTTTTGAGTTTATTTTTATCTATCAGATTTAGTAGTAATACATCTTATACTGATCCTGGAATGTATTCCCCTTCTTTCCTTCAGGAACTATATAAAATTCAGTTAACATATTTTTTTCCAGTGAAACTGTCAATGACTTCTTCAGTTAGAGATAACTACTCCACCCTTGCAGGGCTTACTCTATGTTGTAGGTAGCACTAATCTTCATAATTGCTCCTGTGACTATCTTTTTCTAGTCTATGAGTTCATAGAGGACAGGAACCTTGTAATATTTACTTTTCTGTCTCTTGTTGGCACACACAATCCCTCAAATTCTTTCCAAAACAACAATATGACCATTACCCTGTTTCTTCAAGGTTATGGCACTAGGCTTTCTCTTATCAGTCATTATTATCTTTCACCCCCTACTATTAAAGGTACTGGCAACCAACTTTCGATTTTTCTCTACTTTAAGTTTTGCCATCATTCTGAATGATGTAGACATCCAGTATTATAGTCTCATTTCTTGACTTCCTCTTTTATAATGACCTAATCTACTCCATCTCAGTCACCTACTTCCACGATCATACAGTTAGTACCGTTAGTCCGTTATCACTCATAACTACTCCATTTCTAAAATCATTAACTTATATATTCCACCCTGAGACCACAAGTTCTTCCATCAGCTTGCTCAGCTTCATCGACTGCAATCTTTAACTTCACTGTGACCAGCTCACTGATCTTTCAAAAAGTTTTAGTCCTTTTCATAGTCTTCCTTTTACCCAGTTTAGGCTGCTAACACTTTAAACTCCCTATCCCTCTGGTTATCAAAACCTTAACCCAGGATGAAAACAACATTTTGAGTTCATCAAAGCAACCCCAACAGCCAGGAAATGCTTGAGACAGTCTACTGATTATAAATTCATCCTAATTAGCTTCAAATGAGCTCCTATGCTTTCTAGCAACTGTAATATTACTTTACTCTACAACGACTTTTAAATATTACTCTACAATGACTTTTAAATATTTGTCTGCTACCCTAAAACAACTCACCTTCTTATTCTTCTCTTTGAATTTCATGGAGAAAATAACCCTCAGATGGGAACCATCATTTGTCTAATAACATGAATGCAAATTTAGTTACATTATCCATTCTCCTCTATTAAGGCAGTTGCAGAAATAACACTACACAGATGTGAGATAATCTTTTTACTGCTTTTCTGATACCATCCTTTTCCGCCTTCCTAAAACCCTCACTATAGGACTGTCCCTTTATTCTAGCACCTTCAATCTCTTAAATGGATTTATTACGCACTGATTTTTAAACAGTCACTGTTGTTAAGGACAAGACAGAACATATTCACTAGTAGCACCCTCTTCTCTCTTCAAATGCCAGAGAGTCAAGTTTTTGTAAATAGTCAAAATATCTTGTTATCTCCATTCGCATATCTCATAACCACAATCTGATTTCTATTCCCACAAGTCCACTAAAATCTGTCATAAAGGACTTCAATGATAATTTTGAAAAATTCCTGAATCCAACAGGAATTTTTCTTTTTCTTTAACGATTTATTTATACATAAAAGAACTGGGGTACAGGTCTCCCTGGTGGCACAGGCGGTTGAGCACATTACTGTGAAGCTGTCCGCAGCCCTTGCAGAGCAGGTTCGAACCTGGCCAACCAGGGAGATACCCACATGGCATGGCAGACCTCTCCTGTCTCACCTGCTGTGCTCCTCAGCAGTGTATTTCAGTAGGTCTGCCTGTTCTGTTCCCCGCTCTGTCTCTGGTGAATCTTCTCACCCTCCCGTACACCTGGCCTGTACCCCGGTTCTTGTATGCATAAATAAAATCTTTTTAAAAAAAGAACCGGGGTACAGGCCAGAGGTGTGGGGGATGAGAGGATTCACCAGAGACAGAGTGGGGAGCAGAACAGACAGACTGACTGAAATATACTGCTGAGGGGAGCAGCAGGCCAGACAGGAGAGGTCTGCTGTGCCATGTGGTCACCTCCCTGGCTGGGGATCGAACTCTTGCTGCAGTGGCTGCTGATAGCTTAACAGTGATGTGCTTAACCCCATGAGCCTCCAGGGAGGCCCCTCAATGGGAATTTTTCAAACTTCATCTGAATTGAAATCAGAGTAGGATTAGACACTGTTACCCAGTTTCTCCTTAAAAAACTTTCCCCTTGTTTTTTAAGACAGAATATGTGTCTGGTTTTCCATCTCCCTTTGTAGCCATTCCATCTAGGTCTTCTTTGAAGTCTCATCCACCTCTAAAAAAACCAAGAAATGCCAGAGTTCAAGAGGGCAGTTCTAGGCTAACTCTTTTTTAAGTGATGATTTTTTTAGTCTAAACAAATCTTAAGCGTGTACAGCTTTAATTTGCTACCTAAACAAAGATGACTCAAAAATTTCTACTTTCATGAGATTTCTTTTAGTTTCAAGTGTGTCAACTGTCTATTTGAAATGTTTTCACTATGTTTAAAATCACCTCAAAGCACTTCCCTAGGGTTTCACATTTCAGGGTATAGAACAACTCATTCAGTTGAAAACCTAGGGCTAATTATCAGCAACTCATTTTTCTAATTCTTTATAGTGAATCTATCACTCAGTCCTTTTTATTTATTCTCTATCTCTCAAATGGCACCATTTTTTTTTTCTATCTTGATCAGCTAGTTCTATTGGCTCAGTAACTCAAAACTGGATTCCCTATCATTTTTATCCTTCTCTAATCAATTATCCATAACATTGCCAGAATATATATGTGTGTGTGTGTGTGTGTGTGTGTGTCTGTGTGTATATATATATATATATATAGATATAGTTAAACACACAGGCAGACCTGATGTCACACCTTTCCTTTACTTCAATGGTCCCAACCGCACAAGGGAATTTTTTCTAGTCTTTCCTCCTCACCATGTTCACATCTACCACCAAGGCTTTACATCTGATGTTTTCTCCAGAAGGAATGCTCTTCCTCCTTGTGGTAACACTTCTTTCTGATTTTGGCTTAATTCACATTTCTCAAAGTCCTTTCTGGCTTACCTGAGAGATTCAAAATTCCCCTTTAAAAACTTTGAATGAATGTGAATTCTTCAATGTGTCGTTTTTCCCAGTAGATTATAAATTTCATGAAGGTCAGGTATCTGGTTTCACCCCAGCAATGCATCTCATTATCTAGCATAGTGGGGGGTATTAGGCAGGTAAGTGTTCACAAATACTTGTTAAATAAAAGATCAAAAAGGTAGCAATACTCAGTTGCTCATTCTCTGCTTCAAATACGTATTAACAGAATGCAGAAAAATCAGGTTATTTTCCCACTAGTTATGTTTATCACTTTGAATCTGCTTCAAAGTTAGGTCCATTTAGGAAAAAAATCTTACTTGCAGAAAGGAAATATCACTTAGACTAGGCTTAATTGGAAAAAAAGAGTTGCTACCTTTCGTAAGCGACATAATACAAGTTTGTGATAAATCTTTTTGATAGCTAAATGATTCAAAAAATAAGTGAATAGCAAGTGATATATTATGCATTAAAATATATTAACACATACTTCTAAATGCTGTACCCTGCAGGTGCATGAGATGATTACATACCATTAGCTAACTGCTGTTAGCCAAAGTTAACTAATAAATTGCAATGGGCAGAGCTGGACCCTGGTTACATTCCAATCATGGGAAAGCAAGACTCCAATTTTAAAATTCCAATTTAAGAAGTACTATGTTTGTCATTACTGCATAAGGGAATTCTAAAAGCAAAGGGAATGCTTCATGTACTCAGTGGCAAGTCAATGCCAGGAAATGCTTTTCTAACTTTCTCAGTATTTTGTGTACAGGGAGAAAAACAATTTGATAGTATTTTTTAAAAGTATATTCGCTTTATGTAATAATGAAGTACAATTTTTGCCTCACACTGTCCACCCCAATCATAGCTTTCCCCAAACATATGACTTTATTTTTCGACATTTAACAAAGAGCTACCAAAAGTCTTTTGTGATTTAAAAGGCTGTCAGTTTATTTGTCCCTCACATAGTGAGAAATTAACCCAAAAGTCAACATACTGGCCTAAGACACCCAATATTATCAGAAGGCCAATGCACT